TCTGTAACCCCGATAGTGAGAAATGGAAGGCATCCATGGCCAAGGAAACCACGTCGCTCAAGAACCGCGGAACATGGAAGCTAGTTCCCCGAATATCAGCAAACGGGAGAAAAATCATCAGCGGAAAATGGGTCTTCCCCATCAAAACGCTCGCAGATGGCTCCATCGACAAATACAAAGCAAGATGGGTGGTGCGCGGCTTCAAGCAAACTCACATGGTGGACTTCGATCTCACCTACGCACCTGTCGGACGGCGCACCTCAGTGCGCATCCTCATCTGCATCGCAACCATCAAACAGTGCCCCCTCTGTCAGATCGACGTTGGCAGTGCATTCCTGTATGCTTCGGTCGACGCCATCATCTTCGTCGAGCAGCCCCATGCCTTCGAGGAAAACGACGGCACCATCTGCCTGCTTCAGAAATCCCTCTATGGGATCAAGCAAGCGCCCCGCCTGTGGCAGCAGTACCTGTACACCATACTCACGGAGCTTGGATTCAAGCGAACGCCACACGACCTCGGGATGTATCGCAAGGAGTCGCGCGTCAAGTTCATTCTCCTAGTCGCCTACGTCGACGACCTCCTCTACACCGGTGACAACACGAAGCTACTTGAACTGTTCGAAGCGGACATAAAGGAGAAGCTGGAGGTCACGATCAATCACGACGTTACACAGTTACTGGGTCTCAACATTGTTGTGTGATGCAATCATATGCATTCACGTCTGTCTGCCTCCCATCATATGTTCGTGCGTTGCATGCGTTGTGTGAGCATGTGCAAGAATTTATGTTTGATGTGGTTTGGTTTTTATGAGTGTGTGTGAATGTTATTTGGCTTGAGCAGATATCGGAAGTGACTCCTCTGCTCAAGAGCTTTCCGACGAACCAAGAATCGTCGCGATCGGAGCAAGAAAGAGGAAGTTATTATCGCTCAAAGTTTTGTTTGTGTTGCGACGACTTTCGGAAGTTGTGAAGTTACTCAATATGCAGTACAGACTTTTGGGGGTTGGGAAATTCGTCCCCATCATTGTAGATGCTGCCAAGTGGTTGGGAGAAGCCAAATTGGGTTGGCAAGTGTGGCCAACTTGGGTGAGGTGGATTGTGGAGGTTTGGAAAGTGACAAATGCCAAAGTTGGGGTACCCATAGAGAGGGGAATTGTGTGGCATGGGGTTTCATTGGTTGGGGACTCCTTGGGGACCTTCCCTCTCGTCCTACTCTTCCCCTCCCATCTGGTTTCTAGCTACTCTAACTTTCTTGTGTGGTAATTGTGAGACTCTTATCATTGAGTTAAGTTCTCGTGGCAGCATACCCCCCTGTGCGCCGAAATTGATAAGTCGAGATTTACTTCACCTCTTGATACGATTCAAATTGAGAATTGTAGCCACGGACTAGGGCTACAACATATCTGAGTTTGGTAAAGTTTTGACTGTGAACTTTTCGTCGACGGCGTTTCTTTTGAGAGCGACGATTCTGCCTAGAAAGTGATACCAACGATTTTGTGATATTTCGGCTCCTAATCTTCATAGAGTAAACTAAACCCTAAACCCCAAAACTCTCTCTCTCTCTCTCTCTCTCTCTATCTCTCTCTCTCTCTCTCTCTCTCTCTCTCTCTCTCTCTCTCTCTCTCTCTCTCTCTCTCTCTCTCTCTCTCTCTCTCTCAAATCATCGGCTCTATCAGCAGCAGCTGGGGTGCCTGTTTGCCGCTGTCACGTGTCGGCCGGATCTCTCCTATGTCGCAAGTCAGCTCGCTCAATACATGAAGCAATTTGAAGGGGAGAATCTACTGGATCTACGCCGAGCACTTCAATACTTCATTTCTACTCCCGACGTGGGCCTCACCTACGAAGCTAACTTAACGGCTACCCTGCAGCTGCATGGCTACGTAGACGCAGACCATGCGGGAGACATTGACAACAGACGCTTCTGCACAAGATTCATTTTTCAACTCAAACCTACTGGACTCATCTCATGGAACTCTCAGAAGCAGGAACTCGTCGCTCTTTCGTCAGCCGAAGCTGAATTCATCGCCGCGAAGGACTGTACCTGATGGAGCTCCTGCAAGAAGCGAAAGTGATGATGAACGGGCACTTCACGTTACTTTGCGACAACCAGAGCGCGATCAAGATCGCGAACAAGCCCGGCTTCGTGAACCGCACGAAACCCATCGCCCTTTGCTTTTTCGTCAAAGAAGAAATTGACAAAGGCAAGGTCAAGCTCACGTACTGCCCAATTGGTGACATGGCGGCCGACTTTCTCACAAAGAAACTGCCACGTCAACAGTTTCAGCACTGCGCCAGTCTCTGTGGGATCACATGGTTCATTTTCAGGAATGAAGGGGAGTTTTGAATCTACCAAAAGGTTATCGTAAGCATTCCCGAAGGCTCTCCACTCTCGCATCACTTCATAACGAAGTAAGCGCATGTATCAGTACCGCAATAGCTCATATAGAGCACGCGGAAGGTCAGGGTCACCTGAAGGTCAACAGTCGAAGACACTCAACGGTTGTGACCCTTGACTGCCCAGTAACTGCACAAGGCAGTTGCGAAGTGCAGCGTGGTAACTGTCTAGAATAGCAATAGTCGTGGTTACTGTAGCAATGTAGTTCAGTTAATAACAGAATGTACCCCTCAGAGTTCATGGCTAGCTAGGATTGCTATTTATATTCTTGTACTCCTATCTTATAATCATCTTGTTCTCTCTCAACTTATTAGCAAGGTCATTACGGAGACTTCACAATTTTCTCATATACTTTGCAGCTTTATCCTATCCACTGCAATCCTTCAGTTATAACATCATGAGCGTCTGACACGTGCGACGTCGCATGGTCTTGCAGAACGACAGAGTTTTATCCCGTCAAATCAGAGATTTTGCCGTCAAATGTGCGACCCCGTCGCACATATGTTCCTACTGTAGCAACTGTAACCGGCCTTGAATTCGGCCCTCAAACCTGTTAAGTTTGCAAATCTGCAAACAGTGGCTGTAAATGTGACGACAAGAAGTCGAGCAATCCGTCGACTTTCGCGAAAGAAATGTCGACCAAAATGGTCTATGTAAAACCGGCCAAAAGCAAATTTTGCATATTTTACACGCCCTAATTCCGCGGCGATATTTTTTCGCCTGGACGCACGGTTACTCGCCAAAGGTCGAAATAGTCCCAAATTCTCGTTGAGATGTATTTTCGAGAATGTCTCCGTGATTTTGCCCTCGTAGATCGTCGTCACTATGGCTGTCTGTGACTCATCCCAGTTACTTCCATAGTCGATCGAGCAGGTCACTGCGCACTTTTCTGCGCTTCGGCTCACGGCGGGGAGATGGGGCGGGGAAGAAGAGACGGCGGGCCCGGCGGTCGTGCAGATCTAGGTAACGCGGGGAACGGCGGTGACGGGTTCGTGTTCACCACAGATACGGGTTCGCCAAACAGGTTCGGGTTCGCCCACAAGTACGGTGTGCCGTTTAGGTAACTGATCTTCCGCGGCGCTACAACTTCCCTGCTTCCCCTTGTCCTCCCCTTTCCCTCCGATTCCTCCACATAACAAAGCAGTCTTGACTTCCCTCCTCCTATTTCCCTTCTCTCCCATCGCCCCCTCATCGCCCCTCTCCCTCATTACCCACCCCCCTCTCCCATCGCCTTTCTTCCTTTCGTCCCCAGCGACCACAGGGCGGGCGGTAGTGCAATAGAGGAGGCAGGAAGCCCGAGGAGGGGTGGGAGGCGGGAAGAGACGGATGGTGAGACTTAAGTTCGCTCTGTCAAACTTATATGCTATAGTCTGTGTAGGCTGTAGTGGGATAGTTCATATGGGGCACAACACTTTAGGGTTTCTTACTTGTACTCCTCATTCTGCTCAATGCAATCATCCCTTGTTCTATCTTTCACATGGTTTCAGAGCAGGGTCCCTAGTTTTTTTAGGGCCCACCACGATATTTTTTCCTGCCCTGCCCGAAGCGCGACTCGCGCCTGCCTCACCTGCGCCGTCACGCGCCCTGCCCTACTGCAGCCCGTAGAGGCCTTGCCCTCCCGGCCCGTCGTGGCTCTGACCTAGCCGCCCGTCGCGGCCATGCCCTGTCGCCGCACGTCGCGGCCTGACCTAGCCACCCGTCGCGGCCTGACCTAGCCGCCCGTCGCGGCCCTGCCCTGCTGCCATCTGTCGCGGCCCTGCCCTACTGCCGCCCCGTCGCAGCCCTGCTCTGCCGCCGCCTCGTCGCGGCCCTGCCCTATAGCTGCCCCGTTGCGGCCCTGACCTAACCGCCCATCGCGGCCCTGCCGTGCACCCGCCCCTGCGATGGGAGTGGTGGCGACGGTGGCAGCAGCAGTGGGAGTGGTGGCGGCCGTCGTAGTAGTCGCTGTGGAGCTGTTCGGTGGGGAGGTTCTGGCTGTGGCCAAATGCAGCTGCAGCGGCGTCCGCGTGAGACCCTTACACCCCAGCAGCTTCGTGAGTGGTTTGCTCAGCATTGGGCGTCTCAGCGTGGCGGTCGTAGTGGCCGTCGCCCTGGAGCTGGTCAGTCGGAAGTTTCTGGCGGGGTCGCGACAGGTGGCGGCGTGAGTGTGGTGCAGCGGCGGCGTCAGTGTGGTAGTGGTGCACCTCGCCACGCGAGGGTGGTGCACCTCACCACCTCACCACCGTGCGAGGGTGGTGCACCTCACCACCTCGCTACCTCACGCCGCCACCTGGTGTGGTGCACCTCGCACGGACGCCGCTGCACCACACTCACGCCGCTCAGTCGGCCAGTTGCAATCTCCCTGGCAGACCCTTCTGGGGGCCCAGTCCTTGCGCACTCCTCCACGATCCTGCCATGTCCGATGGTCCCGTTTGGCTCACTGTCGGGTCTTCACCTCCCCACGTTCTCTACGAACTTGGTGAGTGGAGCTTACCTCCAGGATGCGTGGGTTAACCAGTTCACTCCTGGAGGTCAGCATGTGACCCTCTGTATGTGCTCCCGGACTGGTCGGCATCTGGCCACGTTCACCCGAGCGCCTGGCTCAAGTCTGTACACACTGACTACTATGTCCCCTCAGGTAGTTGCGTCTGCGTCTGCGTCTGCATCAGCTCAGCTAGCGGCCCCCTGCTCGTGCCGTGCTTTGTCGCACCAGACCGTCCTTTGGCACCACCGTCTTGGTCACCCCTCTGTGCAACGCCTACGTGGCATGCACCGACGTGTCCTTGTCTCTGGTCTTCCCAAGGTTCTCCCTCCCCTCCCACCCTCGCCTGCTCCTCCCTGTCTTCCCTGTGTCGAGGGGCGGCAACGCGCCACTCCTCACTCCTCCTCGTTTCCCCCGACGACAGCTCCCCTGCAGACTCTCCACATGGACGTGTGGGGCCCAGCCCGCGTCCGTGGACAGGACCGCGAGCGGTACTTTTTGCTGGTCGTGAAAGACTACACGCGTTACACCACGGTCTTGCCCTTGCGCACCAGGGGTGAGGTCCCTGATGTTTTGATCCCTTGGATCCGCGCTGTCCGTCACCAGCTCCGTGAGCGATGTGGGACGGACTTTCCCGTCCTGCGTCTGCACTCTGACGGAGGTGGTGAGTTTGCCTCTGACTTTCTACGGGACTTTTGTCGTGGGGAGGGCATTTGCCAGACGTTCACGCTCCCGGCCTCACCGCAGCAGAATGGGGTTGCTGAGTGCCGCATTGGCTTGATCATGGAGGTAGCTCATACCTCCATGGTCCATGCGGCTGCCCCCCATTTTATGTGGCCGTTAGCGGTCTGATACGATGCGCATCACCTCAACCTCTGGCCCCGTGTCTCCTTGCCGGAGACCTCGCCCACCCTGCAGTGGACGGGGAAGGTTGGTGATGCATCAGTGTTCCGGGTCTGGGGTTCTCGTGCCTTTGTGCGCTATACGTCCGCGGACAAGCTCTCCGCCCGCGCTATTCCCTGCGTCTTCCTTGGCTTGGTCCCTGATGCGCCTGGCTGGCAGTTTTACCACCCCACCTCGCGCCGAGTCCTGCCCTCTCAGGACGTCACGTTCGACGAGTCGGTTCCCTTTTACCGTCTCTTCCCCCCACGCACTGCACCGCTTCCCCCCCCCCCACCACTCTTCCTTGCACCAGGTCCTCCTCCGGTAGACCCCCTTCCCCCTCAGGGTCCTGCTCCCTCAGGTGTGTCTCAGGTAGACGCTGTCGAGCCTGTCGAGGTAGCGGTTGACTCTGGTGCTGCTACTGGAGGTGGTGCTGCTGGGGATGCTGAGCCGGAGCGTGCGGAGCCTGGGGGTGCTGAGCCTGAGCGAGTGGAGCCTTGAGATGCTGAGCCTGAGCGTGTGGAATCTGGGGGTGCTAAGCCTGGGGTTGCTGAGTCTGAGGGTGCGGAGCCTGGAGGTGCTGAGCCTGGGTGTGCTGAGTCTGAGGGTGCAGAGCTTGTGGGTGCTGAGCCTGGGGGTGCTGAGCCTGGAGGTGCTGAGCCTGAGGGTGCTGAGCCTGCGGTTGCTAAGACTGGGGGTGCTGAGTCTACTGGAGTTCCTGCAGGTGCCTCGTCGCGGCGGGAGCCTCTGTCTCCACCGCAGCTGCGCAAGTGGTTTGGTCGCCGCTGGAGACTCCAGCGAGGTGCCGCTGGAGCTGGAGCTGCTAGAGGTTCTGCTGGTGCTTGAGCTGCTGGAGGTACTGCTTGTGCTGTAGCTACTGGAGGAGCTGGAGCTCCTGGAGCTGGAGGTGCTGCTGGAGCTGGATCTGCTAGAGGTACTGCTGGTGCTGGAGCTGCTAGAGGTGCTGGACCCGCTGGTCCCGGAGGTGCTTGTACTGGAGGTACTTGAGCTACTGGGGCTGGTGGTGTTGCCGGAGTTGGAGCGGGAGGCGCTAGTGCTGTTTCTGCTGGAGGTGCTCTTGGAGCTGGAGCTGGTGATGTTGCAGGAGTTGGAGCTGGAGACCCTGGAGCTGGGGGTCCTGGTGCTGTCTCTGCTGGTTCTGGAGGCGCTGCGCGGCTGCGGCCGTACTTCGTTCCACTTCTTCAGCAGGTTCTTGGCCTCCCGCATTCTGCTGGTCCCACTCTTCCCTAACTGTGTCCACAGCCTGCCCCGTTGCAGTCGCAACTACAGCCAGCCTCTCCACTGCCTGGTCCTTCTCCTTACTCTAGGCTGACTAGAGGTCTTACGGCGCGTCGTGAGCCTGAGTCTCGTCCTGCGTCGCCTGAGTCTCGTCCTTCGTCGCCTGGTCGTTGTGTTCCGCGTCAGTATCCTCCTGCTGTCCACGGCACACACCAGATGGCACTTCGACCTTCAACTGCTCCAAATCGTGTCCCTCTGCCGTCCCCTCCTGCGTCCTCCCTTGCTGACGGTCCGGACCCGGAGTCTGACTCCCTTCGTGCTACTAGACCTACTGTCACGCGTCTCCTGGCCACTGTTGTCACTGACCCTTCGTTTAAGTCCACTGCTGCGTCTGCCCTAGTTGGTGAGTTTGTTGACTTTGCTGCTGCCTGTCATCTAGACTACGCCGCTAGTCTTGTTGCTGAGTCTGAGTCTGTCTGTCCTCTGCCCGTCGAGGGTGACTGCGCTCTTGGCACGGACGTTCTTGAGGACAGACAGGAGGAGTTTGAGTGCTTTGCCGCTGCTTTACCTCATCTCGTGTCCATGCTGCTTGCACGTTAAGGAGACCCGGATGCACCAGACATCCCGACCCCGCGCTCTTATGCAGAGGCGATAGAGGGTCCCTACTCCTCTCAGTGGCAGACAGCCATGGACGCAGAGATGGCTTCCTGGAAGTCCACAGGCACCTACGTCGACGAGGCTCCCCCGCCTGGGGCATTGTCAGTGGCATGTGGATATTTAGGGTGAAGTGGCCGCCGGGTTCTCCGCCTGTCTTCAAGGTACGTCACGTTGAACGAGGCTTCAGTCAGCGAGAGGGGGTTGATTTCTTCCAGACCTTCTCCCCCACCCCGAAGATGACCAGCTGCACGTTGCCGCTCAGCGTGACTACGAGCTTCACTCTCTTGACTTCATCACTGCTTTCCTACAGGGCAGCCTGCACGAGGAGATCTGGCTACGCCGCCCACCTGGCTTCACTGGGTCGTTTCCTGCTGGTACCCAGTAGAGCCTCAGGCGCCCAGTCTACGGCGCCCCATGAGTGGCACGACACACTGAGGACGACCCTTGCGGCTCTTGGGTTTGCTCCTTCCACTGCTGACCCGTCGCTGTTTCTATGCACTAACACCTCTCTGTCGCCGTTCTACGTCCTCGTGTACGTCGACGACTTGGTCTTTTCTACTCCTGACATTGAGGGACTCGCCCACGTGAGGTCGGAGCTATAGAAGAGACACTCTTGCACAGACCTGGGTGAGCTGCACAGCTATCTTGGCTTGCGGATCACCCGGGACAGAGCACAGCTCACCATTACCTTGACAAAGTCTCACATGGTGCAGCAGGTCCTTCAGTGCTTCGCCTTCACTTACTCTTCGCCACAGCCCACTCTTCTGCCTACTCGCCACTCGCTCTCAGCTCAACCTTCGGACGAGTCCGTAGAGCCGAGTGGTCTGTACCCAGAGCTTGTGAGCGGCCTCATGTGTGAAAATGTAGAATAGAACGAGAATGATGAAACTAGGAATGATGGGGATACAAGTAGGAAACCCTAGCAAAGTTGTACCCCCTAAGACTCAACCCACCATAGCCTACACAATATAAACATATAGTGTTTGACACACCCCCATAGGCTAAGTGGGAGACACCAGATGGTCACAAGACCAGTCAAAGCAAAGAAAAGCAAGCTCAGGGTGGATCTCAACGTCACCACACATTCCGAGCACAAGTTCAAGGCCACAAGGCCAGTTCACATGCATGATTACATATATATAACGCTAAAAAAGCAAGAGCAAGTATATATATCTATGTAACAGTACTAGCAAGGTCAAGAAGTGAGCAAGTGAGGCAAGGTAGGCACAAGACCCAACAGAGTACAGTAGCGCTGATGATCACAAAGCGCGAGTGCCTTGGTGAAGATATCAGCAGTGTTGGCCTCAGAGGCCACGTAAGCAAGGCGCAGCTGACCACGCTGCTGCAGCTCACGAGCAAGGAAGTAGCGAAGAGCGATGTGCTTCGTTCTGTGATCCAGTTTGTGCTTCCGACACAAGGCCAGCATGGCCTTGTTGTCTACGTTCAGAACTGGAGGAGAACGAGGCGGCTCTCCAAGGTCAGTCAGCAGGTAGGTGAGCCAGCGTAGCTCCTGTGCAGCCATGGCCCCTGCGTAGATCTCAGCCTCACAACTGGAGCCGAGAACAGAAGACGAGCGAGTAGACCGCCACGAAACAGAGCCGGAACCCAGGCTGAAGGTGTAACCCTGTGACGACCGCTGCGTAACCTGGCCGTCAGCCCAAGAAGCGTCTGCGTGACCAGTGAGGACCACTGGACTCCGCCCTCCAAGCACAAGCCCCATACGCGACGTACTGCACAAGTAGCGCAACACCCTCTTCGCTGCAGCCATGTGATCTGGTCTGTGTCTCCCAAGAGCAACATAGCGTGCCAGAATGCTAAGAGGGTTTGCAAGGTCATGTCGAGTGCCGGTCATCAGGTACATGAGGCAGCCAACAAGCTCTGGGTACGGGCCACTTGATTCTACAGACTCATCCGAAGGCAGAGCTGAGAGCGAGTGGGAGTAGACAGAGGAGTGGCCTGAGGTGAGGAGTACGTGAAGTCGAAGCGCTGAAGGACCTGCTGCACCATGTGTGACTGAGTCAGGGTAATGGTGCGCTGTGCTCTGTCCCGGGTGATCTGCAAGCCAAGGTAGGTACGCAGTTCACCTAGGTCTGTGCACGTGTGTCTCTTCTGCAGCTCGGACTTCACGTAGTCGAGTCCAGCAGTGTCAGCTGTGGCAAAGACCAAGTCGTCGACGTACACGAGGATGTAGAACGGCGGCAAAGAAGTCTCGGTGCGCAGAAACAGCGACGGGTCGGCAGTAGAAGGAGCAAACCCAAGAGCCGCAAGTGTAGTCCTCAGTGTGTCGTGCCACTCACGAGGTGCCTGGCGGAGACCGTAGACTGGCCGCCGGAGGCTCCACTTGGTGCCAGGAGGGAAAGTCCTAGTGAAGCCAGGTGGGCGGCGCAGCCAGATCTCCTCGTGCAGGCTGCCCTGCAAGAAAGCAGTGCTGAAGTCAAGAGAGTGAAGCTCGTAGTCACGGTGAGCGGCTATGTGCAGCAGTACCCGAAGAGTGGTCATCTTCGAAGTAGGAGAGAAGGTCCGAAAGTAATCAACTCCCTGCCGCTGACTGAAGCCACGAGCCACGTAACGCGCCTTGAAGACAGGCGGAGAACCCGACGGCCGCTTCACCTTGAAAACCCACATGCCACTGACGATGTTCGCCCCAGGAGGGGGAACCTCGTCAACGTAGGTGCTTGTGGACTTCCAGGACGCCATCTCTGCGTCCATGGCTGCCTGCCACTGAGAGGAGTAGGTACCCTCTATCGCCTCCGCATAAGAGCGCGGAGTCGGGATGTCTGGTGCATCTGGGTCTCCCTCAGGGGCAAGTAGCATGGACACGAGATGGGGTGAAGCAGCCGCAAGACAGTGGAACTCCTCCTGCCTGTCCTCAAGGGCGTCTGTGCCAAGAGCACACTCACCCCCGACGGGCGGAGGACAGGCAGACTCAGACTCAGCGACAAGACTAGCAGCGTAGTCTAGGCGACAGTGAGCAGCGAAGTCGACAAGCTCAGCAACTAGGGCAGACGCAGCAGTAGACTCAAAGGAAGGGTCAGTGACGACAGTAGCAAGGAGACGCGTGACAGTAGGACTGGCAGCACGAAGGGAGTCCGACTCCGGGTCAGCAAGAACAGGAAGAGAGGACTCAGGAGGAGAAGGCAAAGGGGCACGCAGCGGAGCAGTGGAAGGACGCAGAGACATCCGGTGCGTGCCGGGGACAGGGGGAGGACGCTGACGTGAACCTTGACCACTAGTGCGAGCAGCACGGACCGGCTACGTAGGGCGAGACTCTGGCTCACGACGCTCTGTAAGACCCCCAATCGGACCAGTGTAAGGAGAAGGACCAAGAAGCGGTAAGGCAGGAGGTAACTGTGACTACGACTGGACTGGCGGAAGACACTCTAAGGAGGAGGGAGCAGGACAGGGAGGAGGTGACTGACCCAGATCCTGCTGAAGGTGTGGAACAAAGTACGGCTGTGGCCGCGAAGTGCCGCCAGAACCAGTAGAGTGACCACTGGTAGCTCTAGCAGCGCCAGCACGTCCAGCACCAGCAGCAGCTCCAACTCCAGGGTCCTCAGCACCAGCAGCAGCTCCAACGCCCGGGTCCTCAGCACCAGCAGCAGCTCCAACTCCAGGGTCCTCAGCGGCAGTAGCACCAGTAGCTCCTGCACCAGCACGACCTCCAGCAGCACCAGTAGCAGCAGCACCTCCAGCACCAGCAGCACCAGCACCAGCAGCACAAGCACCAGCAGCACCTCCAGCAGCTCCACCTGTAACAGCAGCAGCACCTCCAGCACCAGCAGCACCAGTACCAGCAGCACCAGCACCAGCAGCACCTCTAGCAGCTCCAACAGCACCAGCAGCACCACCAGTAGCAGCAGTAGCACCTCTAGTAGCGCCAGCAGCACCGCCATTAGCAGAAGCACCTCCACTAGGAGCGCCACTCCGGATACTGCAGCGCCGAGCGTACCACTCTCGGAGCCGTTGGGGAGAGGGCAGCTCCCGCCTAGGAGGGGAAGCACTAGCACCAGCTCCAGCAGCACTCCTAGCTCCAGAAGCACCTCTCCTTAGGCTGCAGTACTGTAAGTACCACTTACGTAGCTGCTGTGAGGAGAGAGCTCCTCCAGGTGTAGCACTCCCAGGCTCAGCACCTCCAGGCTCAGCACCTCCAGACTCAGCACCCCCAGACTCAGCACCCCCAGACTCAGCACCCGCAGGCTCCGCACCCCCAGGCTCAGTACCCCCAGACTCAGCACCCCCAGACTCAGCACCCGCAGGCTCCGCCCCCAGTCTCATGTGCAAGAGAGCGACACGAGCAGGGGGCAGACAGCTGACCTGAAGCAGACGCAGACGCAGCTACCTGAGGGGACTCAGTGGTAAGCGTGTACAGGTCCGACCCCGGCTGCCGAGTGAAGGTAGCCAGGTGACGGCCCGTCCTGGCACACATGCAGTGTGTCACGCGCTCGTAGGCAGGGGTGAACTGGTGGACACCCCCGTCTTGGAGCGCACTACCCGCCACCAAGTTCGTAGAGAACGAGGGGAGGTAGAGACCTGACAGTGTGCCCGACGGGACCGCAGGACAAGGGAGGACAGTGGAGGAGGTCGCAAGGACCGGACCCCCAGAGGGGTCAGCGAGGGAGACTGCAACCGGCCGAGCAAGCTGCTCAAGGGTCGTGCGGTCACGGAAGAAACGGCGGGAAGCACCGGAGTCTAGTGTGAAGGTGTGCAGCGCCGCAGTAGACGTAGTACTAGCAGGTGCAAACGCACCAGTACCTGGGGCAGCAGACTCACCAGCACCTAGAGCAGCAGCCTCACGAGGACCTAGGGCAGCAGATTCACTAGCACCTAGAGCGGCAGCCACACCAGTACCTAGAGCAGCAGACTGGATACCGGGGTCAGGGGGTACACACAGGGGACAGGCACTCTCAGTACTAGTAGACAATGCATACATGGCAGTGAGGATAGCATCAGAGTCAAGAGCAAAGATATCTACCCTCTGCCTAAGCAGCTCCACCCAGGAGGGAAGCTCAGCGGCGTCGCCAAACTCTGTACGCCAAGCGTCGCCGAGACGGGCGAAGCAGTGGGACTCTGTGTGGCCACGGGTCCCGCAAGGCTGACCAGTCCGGACACCTGTGCAAATGACGTACGGGCAGCGAGCAGTACTCAGTGACCCTCTACTCTTAGCGTACCACTCACGGAGCTGCTGGGGCGAAAGAGGACACGACAGCTGCACATGTCCACTACCAGAAGCTCCCGAACGACCCACTCCAGAGTGACTACCACTACGGCTACTCTGACAGCCCCAACTAGCGTACCACGCACGAAGATGCTGGGGCGTGAGGGACTCACGTGCACGGCCCTGGAGCTGCATCTGGCCACGCCAGGAGCAATAGTAGCAGCAGTAGC